GTTACCAACTGTCGATCACAAGTTTTTATTTTTCTCAGATTCTTTATAAATTGTGTGCCAGGTCAAGATCAGCTTTCTGAAATGCTGACACTTGACAACATTTTTTTTTGGGGGGGGGTGTAATTCTTAAGTACTTGGACTTTTAAGTCTCAGTATTTGTTTTTTCTTTGTCTTACATGTTTGCTGTTATTTTTGTTTCCTTTCTAATAACTAGTTGAGTAGTCTGTGTATTTTAAATGCGTTCTTTTTTTTTACTCTATTAAAATACTATGTTCTATAACATTAAACAATTATGTAAAAATTGCTTTGTTTACCTGAAAATATGTTTGAATGGATTTAAATGCTATCATTGCACTTACTTAACCCTCTGTTACTTTTGTTGGGCATTGCCACAGCTTTAGTATCATATAGGTTTCAAACACACCATTTAAAATATATCATTTAGTTCCAAATTTTCTTGTTATATATTGTCTTGACTATAGAATGAGTAAAAATGAAAAAAAATAAAAGGTTTTATTTTGAAAGATTTGTAAGCTTAAATAAATTAAAATATGCAAAATAGGTTTGGTTTTATTTCCAGTAAACAAATAAAATTGCTTGTAATTCACACAAATATTATGGCTAAAACCAAAAACTAATTGTAGTTACTCAATAGAGGTATTCGGAAAGTTACTTGACTAATCATAAATATATGACTTTCCATTTGTTAAGTATAAAGAAAAAGGTTTTGTGATGAACCAATGGTTAAAATTTATAGAAATCCCAGACTTGAATTAATCATTATCTTTATATAAATGCTTCTGAATGATAACACACATGCACTTAATATTATTTATAAAAGGCTCATCAAAAGAATTTATTCTGTATTGCTTCTTTGTTGTTATCTCATATGTTAAAACTTTGATGATCAAATTTTGAATGGTATCTGATATGCAGTGCATTTGTAAAATTAAAAAAAGAGCAAAGAGACATGCTTGTTGATTATTAATTTTTCAAAGTGCCAATCAAACCCACCAATATTTACTTTTCCTTTTCTCCCATGAGATTGTTATGAATTGTTTGCATTAGGATCATGGCATAACTCCAACACAACTTTCAGCCAAAACTTTGATCAAATGAAGTGGTTCAATTGGATAAACGTTGCTCATCTTTATACATTGTACTTAGATCAATATGTATATTGTCTGCTGTGCATTATGGAGAGGCTGTATGAAATCATATATGAACCATAAATTTTATTACTTGATCATCATTTTTATTAATTATTTTCTGTATTCTCCAAAATATCATACAAGTTCTTCATTTTGTCACTTTTCTCTCTATTTTTATTCCATGAATGTAAATGTGTTTATGAATGTGTAGATAGCCCCATGGTTAGCAACATGGAAAATGAAATCTGCAATTCAGGTTCAAATTCTGGCTGAAACAGTTTGTGTTCATTTTACATTAATACCCTTTGGGGAGGCATGAATCCATTTCTTCTACCTCTAGTTATAGGTAAAATAGCAGGGCAGATAAAGATATCTGGTATTTAGTAGCCACCATTCTAAGAGAAGACTAACTCTTCATTCAAAACTAGTTCCTAAGCCCAGGTAAAAGGTTTGGCATGAGATTAGTGAGGAATCTGTAAGGAATTTTTAAAAAATTGCTTGTTTCAGTTTTGTACCTGTTATACCATACAAATCTGGGATGTTGTTTCTGTTATAAATATTATCATTCCATTTCCAACCTTCGTTTTGGTTATTCTTATTCAGTAACCTTTTCCTAGGTTACAACAAAACCCAAATCAAACAAAAATAATTTTAGAAGCAATTTTTTGTCTAACATTATTTCTTATTACTATAAAGAATATATTTAAGTAAGACAATGTTCTTTCGCATCCTGCAAAGCTGACTATTGCTCAATTTGCCAAAAAATGTTTCAAAGATAGCAAATTAATTGAATAGCTCCTCGCCTCTTCAGATATTACTCTAATAGAAAATTTGTCCATTATTAAGAGATGTACCATATATACTCGCATATCATGTGACTTTTGAAGACCTAATTTTGAAGCTAATTTTAAGGGGGTCACATCAAGATATGAAATTAGCATATGCATTGCTGACCCTGGCTATGCTGTTGATCAAACTATATACTGTAGTCAAAAAGTACAACTGTATTTAAAATAAACATGATTTTGATAAGTTATCCTAATGACCCTGTTCACAAAAAAAAAAAAAAAAATCATTCAAATTTTGAATACCCTTTGTCAACCGTATATACCTGTATTTGCCATTTCTGGTGCCAAGTGGACTGAATCTGTTGTTAATGGAGAAAAGAAAAACTGTGGCTTTATATGTATGAAGAGATAGTCCAAAAATCATTTCTTGAAATTTCAAACTGCATCCTTTATTGAATCTATTGTGGATAAGAGTTAGCTCCATTGATTAAATAAAGTGTTCAGTTCAAAATTCCCAAAGTGCTACCAAATACAACAGAGTTGAAGAAGGCAGGAATGTACAATGGCCAAAACCTAATTGTAACAACCAGAACAAGGAATCTGAATAGATAATAATAATTCCTAATTTGAGAAGATCAAACAGAAATCATCTACATAGATATTATATAAAGATCCAAGTCTAGTTAAACATCTATGACAGCCAAATACCATTTTCCTATACCTACAAAAAAAAAAAAAAAAAAAAACCGTAAAAATAAACAAAACAACTCACTGAATCTTATAACCCAATGATTGGATTATCAGTACCAGCACCTAAACACTCCTGTTTAACACACTCATCCCTTGATGATGAAATATATATGATTATAATGGATTAAATTAGAATTACAAATCAAAATGATGTTAAAAGTAAAAAGGTATGGATTAATCTTCAGTTGATTTTGTTACTAAATATCCCTTGCCAAATTACAGGTGTATAAAAAACATCTGTGTATGTTGTAGGAAATATGGTGAATCCACAAGACGACTTCTTTCATAAATCTGACCAACATGTGTCTTAAATAAATATTTTTGATTGGCTGTATACTTTTACATCGTCTTCTGAAGTTAGCATTTTATATTAATATCCAGAAGCTTTCTTCTTGGAAAGATTCTTTATAGTGAAATTGACTTCCTCTATTTATATTTAGTCATAAAATTGAACTGGCAAACAAAAATATACAGAGTAGCTAATGCCCAGAAACCAAAGATAAATGCTCACATTAAAAACAAAACTAAGGTTTATTAATAATAATAACATTAACATATAAACCTATATGCTGTCCTACAAATATAAGAAGCAAATCCTGGGAAATATATTCAATATGAACAGTATGAAGCTATATTTTCTACAAGAGCAGTTTGCTTTCAACATAGATATTACTGCTGATAATACTTTTGGATATGATTAACATTTAATGCCCAAATATGGTATCAAAATTTTATGCAAATTAGCATAAATTGATAAGTCAAATTGTATTTTTGACACTATATATAAGTACATATTGTATTTTAATCATTTCCATGTATATTATCAATAAAAATAAATGCTTGTCTGGTTCCAATGAAATAAGTCTTAAACTATGTTCCACTGGTGGAACAAAGAGCATGAAAAGGTTAATATTTTTATTTTGTTGTATTGTCATAAAATCTAATAACTAGAATTACTTTTAAAATTATCTTTCTTGCAGAATTTTATTTAGTCTTATCTGTAATATGGGAGCTAATGAAGTAAAAAATTTCTAAAGACATGATAAATCTAAGAAATCAATGAGTTGAAAAAAGAAAATCATTTAAATATATTTTCATTTTTTGTTTTGTCTTTTTTTACCAAAATTAATATACATATACTCTAAATTAAACAAAAATGAAATATATTTCATTGTTATTTTCATATGCAAGATTCTTTAAGCTAAAAATATCTAGGTAAAAAGAAAAAATGTTTTCTGTTAAAGAACATAGCCTAATAGAAATATTCTTTCAATTTCTTAGTGCCTGTGATAAAAAAAAAATACCATTTTTCTATAGTCATTGATGGACAAGTTAATCACAGTAAAATCCCACAATGAAGTAATAAAATTCATCATACCAATTGTATTTAGAAGATAAAAACAGTTTCTTTAACAAATTCTTAGATATAAATTTAAATTTAGAATATACTAGATTTTTACATTGTTCAAAACTGCAATGCCTATTTGAGAGTCATTTAAAAGTGGGATGTCTCATCAAAATCCCAGCATCTGATATGTAAACTGAAATCTTTTTACCTACTCATATTCCATACCTAACACTAAAGAGGGATTCTTGTCCTCTCCAACTATTCAGCATGAAGAAATGATTGCATCTTTAAGGCTCAAATGCACAATATAAGTAGGAATGTATATAACTAGTAAGGAGTTACAACACTGGTTTGGAACCATAAGGTTTATTGTTCAATTGCTACAACCAAAGAGCAAGGATAGCTTATTTATGGTCACAATGTCAAGTATATAGTGATATCATAGTGAATGTGAGAAACAAATTAAAATTTGAATTAGTTTATATTCCTGAAGACCATATTTGATATATTTGAGTGGTTTATAACATATCTTCTCTTTCACTATTTATTGTATCAAAGCCCTAATTATTTGCAATCAAGAGACAAAATAAAAGGAGAAGGGGATCACAAGTTGAAAAGATAAACAGATTAAATAAAAGAGAAATAATCATGAAACTGGGATTAGTATTAAGACATTGGACATTCCAGGAGTAAGATACAAATAAAGGGTAAAGATGATCAGAAGGCAAAAGGATTAACAGATTAAAGAAAAGAGAAATAATCATGAAATTGAGATTAGTATGAAGATGTTGGACATTCCAGGAACAAGAGACAAATAATAGGAAATGATAATCAGAAAGTAAAAGGATTAACAGATGAAATAAAAGAGAAATAATCATGAAACTGAGAGTGGCATGAAGAGGTTGGACATTCCATAAGCATTGAAGACAAAAATATCCAATGAAACAGGAAATTAATTCTTACATAAAGTAGAAGTAGGTGAGAGAGAGAGAGAGAGAGAGAGAGAGGGGGAGAATAAAGTGCAAGGAAAGGAAGTAAGTATCACACAAAGTAGAATAGTAAGAGTAGGAGGAGTAGAATTGCTAGAAGATGCAAGCAACAGACAACTGTTGGGTGAAAAGGAAGTTCAATTGTTAATTATTATAATCAGAGGTCACATTGATCTGTCAGACAGCCTAGTGACACAAGTCTTAGGAAAAATCGTTTAATACAGATCTAATCAATAATGACAGGTTATTGAATTGAAGAGAAGGAAGAAAGTACAAACTTATAATCAGAGGAAATGATAACTTTGAGAAAAAAAATTACTATCTCCCAAAAACAAAACAGGGCATATGTAGCACTTAATGCCTCTTTGCTAACCCCTATTTTGGTGCTAAAAGAGCTGTAACAGCAGTAGTAATAATACTATTAGACATGATTATAGTAGTAGTAATAACATCATCATCATTATTATTATTGTAGTAATAGTAGTAGTGGATAACTTTCTTTGATCCTAACTCTCAACCCAGTCTCCATCCTCTGAATTTATTACAACTCCAGAATCCAAGATAATGAGAAGAAAAAAAAAAGTGGGGGATGGAGAGAGAATGGAGAAAAAAAAAAAAAAAAAAGAAAAAAAAAAAGAAAAGAAGGAACTTAATATTAAAGAGATTTGTAATAAGAAGGCAGGTCAGTGTGATTTAGAGGGGGAGCTTATTTAACCAGGATTACATGTATAAGAATATCCTCCTCCCCAGGATTAACCCTTTCATCATTTACACAGTTGAACAGTGACTTACAGAGTTCTTGCTTGTGTTAATACAACCTGACATTGTTTCCAAAGATATATCTAAAGCTATTCTCTTACATTTACTCTAATAATACACTGCAGACAAGTGCCTTAATAAGCTCAACTTGGGTTTATAAAGAGAAAGGTTTGGGTTCAAACCTGGCATTCAATTACATGTCAAGAGTTTTAATGATTTAAATGAAGGTCAGAAATTAAGCTTTAGAAAGTTGCCTGATACTGAAGTAAATCTATGTCAGGGTTCCATACAATAAAGAGAACAAGATTACATTGTTGGTTGTGGTGTTGAAAAAGAAATTGAAGAGGAAGAAGGAGAATAATGGAAAAGAGGGAGAGGAGGAGGAGAAGAAAATGGAGACAAGGGGAGAGAAACAGGTAGATGAGGAGAAGAGGGAGGAAGCGAGAGAAGGAATTATTATTATTATTATTATTATATAAAAAAACAGAACCAGAATAAATAGCATTTAGGCCTTCATCAGCAGAAAGAATTAAAAACTTTTGCAATGAATCTTGAAAGAAGACAGCCATACAAATTTTCCTCAACTTCCATCTCTGGCTTCGTTAACTGCTGCTAAATGTGATTTTGTTTTTATGGCATATCAATTTCAAGACATGTAGTACCAAATATTTTTTAATAAATAGATTCTTTTATCACAACCTGAATTTTACAAAATCAAAATATCTTTGGGTTTTAAGAAATCAACAAGTATACCAGAGCCAATGGCTTACAGAATATTGTTACTGAATCTTGAATCTCTATACAAAAGTTAAAGGCTATTTTGGATGTAATTTCAATACAGGCATCTCTAATTGTTGACAGTTTGTTAACAAGAATAGATAGACAATATCATAAATATTAAGTCATTGAGTAGATCAGATGGTTTCGTTGTAGATAACAAAGTCATCTAATCTATCTAAATATCTAAATTTAAAATGTATTTTATTAGAGGCTTGTTACAGCAAGTCATCTAAAATTAAAGTTGATCAAAGGGTTCCCTTATTGAAACAGCAGACAAAAAAGTTGCAATACATATATTTGCATAGATTTTGTTAATATATTGAAACAATCAAGTTGTCTTAAAAGAATTGTATTCATTTCAGAATTTATTGTAATAGGGCATTGTTAAAAGAAAGTAAAAAATATTTAAACACAATCAAGATAAATTTTATAAAAAAAAAATAAAAAATAGAAATGAGGTCTCAATCTAAGGCAAAATTTCAAAGTGAATTCTGTTAAATGTGAATTGTAAGACATTCCTTTTTGGTGTGTATTTGTATACAAATTCCTCAAGTTATCAAAACTTGTCCCATCAAGAAGAAATGCAGTAGAAATCCAATGCTGGCCATTTGATGGCTAGCATTGATGGCACATGATATTTGATAAAATAAGTGACAAAGTTTTGCTTTATAGTGTTTGAAAAGAGTAATCAGTTTCAATAGATCTTAGACAAGACTTTTGTGCTTCACTGAATAATTTGGTCAGCTTTGAAAGGATTTTCAAACAAACATCTTAAATGATCCTCTACAAGCTAGAGTGCACATTAACAAGTCAACTCACTTGTTGATAAAAGGTAAACATCACTGAAAAAAAAAATCAATCAAACAAGTCCAGGAATATTTTTACAACATATTTATCCGTGGTTTTATGTCAAACAGTAATTTTACTTCAAGGAGATAATCCATGGATTAGATACTCTTCAAAGCTAAATAACATAGACCAGCAGAGACAGCTTGTAAAAATATAAGATATTGATACTGAGGATCAATTTTCTAGTTGTTGTGTGTGTGTGTGTGTGTGTGTGTGTGTGTATTACTTTAGATTTTGATCAAAATGAAACTTTACAATAAAAATCTTTATTTAAACAATATATACTGTGTTTGATAGTAGATACACCCTACACCATTACAGAAGAGACTATTAAGAAAAAAATTTGTTAGATACTCTATCAAACATTACTGGAACTTTGTCCATATTCCCTATTACTGGACAAGTTTAAAACATTTTTTTTTAAATTATTACATATTTATGAAATTCAAATATTTAAGGAAAATAAGTTAGTCTTCTATTTTTATTTATACTATTTTTCACCCAATACAAGGTAGAGAGTTACTGAATATAAGGGTGTAAAGAGAGAAGGAAGGATATGTAGGATAAATATTAGTTGCTTCTAGACTTGAAGAGGTTAAAATTGTAGTGATTAGGGAAGAATCCTCTTCAGAGTCTGTTCCACAAAGTAAGAGTTCTGTGTAAGAAGCCATCTGATTGGGACTTTCTCTTTACTAATGGAATACGAAAAGGATGAGTTAATCCTGTGTATGTTGCATGACAGATTCTAGCTGTAAAGGTCTGAACTGGTAGAACACAATGAAATGCTGATGTGGACAAATATTTACAAGTAAAGAAAGTAATATTTATCACTAGGTTTTGGGTGTTGTACGCTCTGGCCTTTTTCAGGTGGTTGGAATGTCAAACTGAACCCTTTATTTTGCTCACTGGGGTAGATAGTCCGAACAATGTAAATAGCATACATAATACCTCATCTCAAAAATATAGACAGATACTAAAGAAAGCAAATTCAAAATAAAATTGAAATACATTTCTGAAAATATATTTTGAGAGTATTGTAATAAGATGGAGTAAAATTGTAAATGTAAAAGGGAAAATGATTCATTTAAGAAAAAAATTAATTATTACTCAGCAGTAAAACAAAGATGAAATAGCAAATCAAAAAAGAAATAGCAGAAAGCCTAGAATCGTGCTCTATTTAAATACAGAGGCTTCTATGACCAAAGATATGAAGATGAATGTCCTTGAAATGTGTGATGTAAGTCTTGTCAGAAGCTAATCCTTTATTCCTAACTTCATGCTATTTGATATCATAGGTGAAAAGTGTATTGACCCATAGTGTTATGATAAGAAGCAACAAGATATAATAAAATTAGAAATAAAATAAAACATACTGACATTTATTGTTCATACTTATGAGTTTATAAAAAAAACATGCAGAATAAAAAAAAAATTAAAAAAAAGGAAAAATTTGAGAATAAGTTGTCTTTTTAATACCAAATTCTTTAAACCAAATAATTGAATCCTGACCTATATGTGTAATAGATTCGTTTGGTTGAAATATGAGTGCACTGTGAAAGGCTAGAAGAATTGTGAGAATATTCTGAAATTAATTTTATATAGTGTTTTGTTATCCTAAATTATCTTTTAATTATGACCAATCTATGCATGTCATAAATTAAGGATTTTCAAGCCATAAATTAGCGGTTGGTTTACACACACAGTACAGAGAGTACTTTTTTTCATTTAGTTATATTTTAAATATACATCTTTCTGTAGTACAAAAAATAGAAAATGCATCTGAAATTGTTTATATGATTTAAGAAGAACTATTTTTTATCATTTGTGAAATGAGAGCATCCATAATATTCAAAGGGTTGTGGAAAAGTTATCAACCTAACCAAACAGCTCTTAACCAAAATACAGATATTTGGGAAGAGTTTTGGCCCAAGAACTTTTCAACACCCCTTCATACAGGGTAAGCATAAAACCTTTCACAGATTTCATACATATCAATTCTATTTTGATACTTGTAATTGCAGCACCATTTGAATAGGAAAAACTATGTTAAATAGCCAATGCATCATTATAACATTCATGTTTCTATATAGCACAAAGTACAAGAAGGAGCTATAACAATTAGTGAACTTTAAAAGTCTAATTACCTGAAAAACTGTTTTAAGAAAAAGACTTTATAAATTTCAACGGAGAGAAAAGCTAATCAATAAATGCTGAATGTTACCTATATAGAAGTGACTAATTTCACCATCGCTATAATTAAGAAATGGTTTTACATAATCAGAAAAGGACTATAGATTTTGTTTACCTTTATTTTTAGAAATTGAAAAACGAAAGAAATCTTACCACAGAAATACAATAAGTGACTCTTGTTAATTTGAAGATAATTTTTCCAAGAATGAAAGGTAAGTATTATAAAACTATGAGAAACCACAAATATTTTACTTAAAAGTCAATATATAAACATAACTAGCATTTTCTAACAAATAGTATTTTAGTGGTTATTCAAGATAATCCTAAATGTTTACTTACCAAGACAAAGAAATATATTTAATATACACATATATGAAGCAACATAAAATGTCCAAAAGAATGAAAGACAAAGAAACCATCCTTAACCGTAATTCTTTATCACAAACAATAATCATATCAACTACTTTCAACATGATATTTTTGTTAAAAAAAATGTTTAAATGATTAATTAAAAGCAAAAATTTTTTTTTTTTAATTTGAGAAATATAACGCATAAAATTACCACAGAATTTTGTATAAAGATATGCTAAAACAAATAGATGAATATGTTTTCCGGTGTGAATGCTTTTTAATAGTAATTGCATAAATTATGGACAACATTTTAAATACAAATTATTTTGGTATGTTTTACATAAGCTGACAGACAATAAATTTGAACCATATATGAAATCGTATAAGATAGATTCCCACCATATAATTGATATGAAAACAATGGTTTTATCATTTCATCTTATATGAACCTATTTACAAAATAAATCCAAGTAGACATTTTAACATTCAAAAATGAACATAAATGTTTACACTCATGTGACATTTGTATTACTACCTAAGGTAATGTTTTTATTTGTTGGTTTCTCTGTCAAGGAACACGAGTGGAGACTTCTGAAGGTTAACGAAAATTTATTCTCCATTTTAAAAAGAAAATTCTAGTGATTCAAGCTTAAATTAACAAAGCAAAAATCTTCAATGCAAACAAACCTAACAAAATAAGTTGAATGTGCACATAAGAAAAATATTAAGACTTAAATAAGAAAAGAACTCACTCCAAAAGTAACAAAAACTAAATAAGTAATTTTTTTTTTGTTCTCTATGCCCCACCTTGCCAAAGGCTTTTCTCATGCAAGTTGCTTCACAAAGTTATTCTATAATGAAAAGAAAATATTAAAAAATAAAATACGGTTGTATAATTTCTAAAGAATGGATAACTCGAAAGATTAAATCTTTTTTTTGTAAAAGTTTACAGAGAGCTAGTCTTGAGAAAATGGCTTATATTAACACAAAGAAAATGAAGTTGGGTAAAGAAAAAGGAAAAGAAAAATGGTTTTGTTACTTTTTTAAACATTAATTTATAAAATATACATTGGGAAGGAGGTGAAAAGTGACCTGACCACCTCTTAAAAAAAAAACAAAAAAAAACCCTTGGTCAAGCCATCACCTTTCATATACACCTCCCCAACACCCTAAATCAGTATTTCACAAACCAATCCTCAGAACACTAATTTTGAGATTTTTCGTCAGGCTGACAATTTTTCACAACCTCAATAGATAAGAAAAACCTTCATGGAGAAGATGAAAAAATATTTCTTTTTAGTACTTTGTCTTTCAGTTGTAACAATATCTAATCTTCCCCATTGATAAGTCAATGGGATTTTCAAAAGGAAATACAAGTGGATATTAGTTTAACTCCTGC